TCTCCATTGGACGAATATTCCAATTGGAAGGGTCACGGTTTAAGCCTAGAGCATTGGACAGGGCGACTGCAGTCCCAACCATCCCCCCGTTACCGAACATGGAGGTACTTGGCCTTCCGCAAACATTCAGAATAATCGCCATGACCGTCGATATCCCGGGGGATAGGAATAGCTCTGAATGGAGAGCTTCGTTCGCTTGGTTCCAAATAAAGCGGATATCAGGATAGCGACCGGACCGCAAACTAGGCGAATTCTCCCAGTAGATCAGAGCGTTGGCATACAGATTGCACAGGAGAGCCGGCGAAATGTTCTCTTTATGCGTGGAATAGACATGTCGAAAGGACATTTCATCGAATATAGGAAAGCATATGTTGGCATGGTGAAAGAACCTATATGTTACATTGAAGCAATCAGCCGGTCCTGGACAATTGGGAGTCAAGTTGACTACTCACAGGTCCACAATATCATCGACCTCTGGCTCTAGGTATTCCTCGATGAACTCGCACTTGGTAGCGGAAAGTGATTGAGTCGCAGAAACTCCTAATGGCCGCCTGGGTACAGTGTTGAACAGCACTGGTCTCACAGGCCGTCTGGAGTTCGGATCTGTCCGAATTATCGACCCCCGCCGAGCATCTGGCACGGTAGAGAGGTAGCTCTCAAGGACATCGTTATCTTCAGCAACTACAGGACTGACTATATGCGAGCTATTGTCGCCGACCTCGGTAACGATGTCGACGCCCACCAGATTAGGAAATGCCTCTCGGGCAAAATGCTCATGAGAGGGAGGGCACGATTGTGTCTCTAGGATCACTGCAGGCCTGCTGATCGTTTGCGGGGCAAAATCTCTTGAGGGGCTAACTGCGTCAACCGGATGAGTAAATGCCTGTTGGCTCTTCTTCGGTTGCGCTGCCGTTCTCGGTGCCTGTCGTGACTTGGGCGTCAACTTCCGCGGCGAAGCTACGGACCCTCGTTGGGAGTTATCTCCTGGCCGAGGATAGATACAATTTGTACCATGAGCCCGGCACATGATACATTTCCCCGAGGAGTCTGTTGTCCTGCAGCGGGACTTGCGCTTTTTGCAAGGTAGGCAGGCAGGATACAGGTGAGACCGATATGGCCTGGCTTCAGCGCTGTCTCCATCATGGCAAACACCGGGATCTCTCTCCATCTCGATTGAGCACGTACTTCTTTTCCTTTTGGCACAGGGAGGCGAAGATAGAAGGCATAACAATACAAGTGGGGAGAAGATATCTGTGGTTCCGCGGCAAACCCCGCGGCCAACTCCACTATTGGTGATAAGGTATACTCACACCATCCGCGGCCAACTCCACAGTATACTGTACAGCACCCCGCTGTGGTGCTCTCAGTTGGTATATAACTGTGAAAATGGAACATTATATCAAGTTTCGCCTGTCGCCTATCTCAAACAACTTCCTGTACTTTGCTTTCTTTCGTTCTCCTTCCTCTAGGTCCTAAGTCAGAATAGTATCAGCATACACCATGGCCTCCACAGATACAACCGTATTCTTTTCCAAGGCGGGTAGATACCTAATGAAAACGGGTGTCCCCTTCTCCCCGGTCGTTATAAAGAAGGCCCAGGGTACCAGACTTTACGATGTCAACAACAGACAGATCCTCGACTTCACCTCCGGCCAAATGAGCTCTCTCCTGGGACATTCTCACCCGGAGATCGTCGAGGTAGTCCAAAAGTATGTCGCAGAGCTCGACCACCTCTTGAGCAACATGGTTACCTACCCTGTCGTCGAGCTCGCCGAACGCTTAGCCCGTTTCCTTCCAGCGCCTCTAGAGAAGTCCTTCTTTCTGAACACGGGGTCTGAGTCCACAGAAGCAGCCATCAAGATTGCCAAATGCTATACTGGCAAATTTGAAATCGTCGCTTTTGCTGCAAGCTACCATGGATTAACTCAGGGGTCGGGCTCCGCGACCTACTCAGTCGGTCGTAAAAGCGGAGGCCCCTGCATGCCGGGCCAGCTTGCCTTTCCTGCGCCATATACTTATCGCTCGCCTTTCCGTAAGCCCGATGGGTCGTACGACTGGGAGGCAGAGATGGATTTTGGCTGGTCAATGATTGACCGTCAAAGTGTTGGCTCACTGGCTGCGTTTATCATGGAGCCTATTCTCTCTACAGGCGGTATCCTCGAGCTTCCCCCGGGTTATCTGCAACGCATGAGCCTGGAATGCAAGAAGCGCGGCATGCTGATCATTATGGATGAAGCTCAAACTGGTGTTGGTCGAACTGGTCAGATGTTCGCTTTTGAGCAAGACGGAATTGTTCCCGATATCCTTGCGTTGTCGAAAACGCTTGGATGTGGTTTGCCTCTTGCATCGGTCAGTACAACCGCCGAAATCGAACGCGGGTGCACTGAAGCCGGCTTCCTATGGCTCACCACCCATCTTAACGACCCACTTACCGCTGCAGTGGGCAGTAAGGTCCTCGAGATCGTCGAGAGGGATAACATCTGCCAGCGAGCTGCGGAGCGTGGTGCGCAGTTGCGCGACGGTCTCCTTAAGCTGCAAGAGAAGTATTGGTGTATCGGTGATGTCCGTGGTCGGGGTCTCTTGCAAGGCATCGAGATTATCTCCGATGCTGAATCTAAGGCCCCTGGGCCAGACCTCGGACAGTTAGTTTCTGATCGGGCTATGGCGTGTGGTCTCTCATGCAATGTTGTGAATCTCCCAGGTATGGGGGGCGTGTTTCGTTTGGCTCCGCCTGTTACCGTTACCGCCGAGGAGATTGAAGAGGGTCTTAGGATCCTAGATGAGGCGTTTGGTTATGTTTTGAATGAGGAGAGGAATTAGGTTTGGAATTCGAGTATGTCAACATTTAGCTTGGGTTTAGTAATTGTATGATGGTTTTGTCAAATGTTTAGAAATTGTGGTACCAAGGCATATATAGTCCTGCGGTGTCATTTATCGCATTCTCTTATTCAATTTGCCTTATAAACGATCGGTTGTTCTCTTCAGCTGATGGCTGCGAGGCTGTAAGGTTGAGATCATGACATCTTATATGATTCATGTAATAATGAATGCCTTAAAGCGGGGGTGAGCCTTGGTCTAGATTGGTAAGAAGCCTTGCCATATTGCTAGATACTTGCTAATATAGTCTTTGTTTCTATGTCTACCAGATTCACTAAGAAACCCAACAAGGATAGTGTCACAGTTTATAGATCTCTATGCACTACCACATCAGCATAGCTCTTCACCTTTTGCTAACCTTCTTGTGTAATTATTTTTAGGGATTAAATGCCCAAGGTAAGTTTTATCTAGGCTGTTCTAAGTGTGCACGGAGTTTTACAGTGTTCTAGCCTGAATCACCTTAAACTTTGGATCGTGAGTGACTCTTGGATAAGTGAAAGATAAGTAAAGGATGAATAAAAGCTATGTAAGAAAATTGGTAAAGTGAATATTGAGGCCATTGCTGTCACTTCTCTTGTCAGCTGATCAGCTCTCTTAGCCACCTGACACACAGCTATATAAAGGCCTTCTTTGTCTACCAGATAGTTAAATCAAACATTTTCCTTCAACCCACCCTTTCCATCTCCTTATCCTCTGGCAAAAGCGCATCCTACAAAGTTTCTAGTTATACATTAGGCAGGCAGCAGACCTCTGTGCGCGAATTCGAACTCATAATGATGAAGAGCCTACAAGGGCCAGAAACAACTTTACCGCGAGCGTAGTGGGGGAGCCACTCCAGGTCCAGAAGATTGGGCCTGTCGATCGTGCACTCATCCTGAAGCAACTCATTTCGAAATGGTTTTAGACGATTCAATAATTTATCAAGAGGCAACTCTCGACGCTCAACTAAGACAGTATTATCAAAATCTTCTCTTCAAGCGTCGAGCCCAGGGCCAGCAAGCGCGGCAGAAAAAAGACAGTCGACGAATATCATGAGATACTTGGAACCAACAAATACAACAGTAAAGGTGTCCCACGAGGGTAAAATACATGAATTATCATGCGGTTCCTTCAGATTTACAATCTCACAGTGGCTTGGACTATGGGCTCGAAATGTTTTCAACATGAATTCTCTAGTTGATGTGCTGGAGGGATATTTCTTGGATGAGAGCCAAAATTTCCAACGACGTTGGCTTTCAATGAGGCTGATTTCTTGTGATAGACATGTCTAAGCACGCGAACATAGTAGAGGGAAATAAGATAGCATGTTCTGGTTTCGATCCAGGGACCTATTGTTTGTTAGGATATTGACTCTGATTATTGGAGAAAGACAAAACAAATCGTACCTCCGGGTTATGAGCTTAGCTGTGATATTTTAATTCCCGTCGGGAGCAGATTCTTCGGTATAATGGTTCCCATGTAGGTTATCCATACAAACTTATTTAGTCTTAGATAGTGTCTATGTAGTAGCTTACCGAGTAAAGGCCGCAAGCATACTATGCATGGTAAATCCCTATGGTAGCAATCATGAGCCCAACAAGGCTATTGATCGGATCAACGTATCCAATATCCTTTCTAGATGGATCCTATGACTTATAAAGCCTTGACCCGCAGAATTTATGATTTTCGTTATTACAGACTGGGCAGAGGTACACTACACCGGACATTAAAATGTCGATAAAGTGATGGCTTTTGGAGGAACATCATATTCTTAGGCACAGGTATCTGACCCTCGAGTCACATACTCAAAGATGAACAGTTCAATGGGATGCTAATCTCATCGATAGTGATAATCCTCATAATAATCCTCATAGCAGTTAACCAATGATACATCAGGGGCAGAGCCGTCTGACTTCCAGGTACATCAATGTGCCGATGGTCATGTGACCCTGTTCTGCCCTTGACTTCGATCAACCTCATGCAGCAACCATGTTTATCAAAAAGCAGAATAACCAACAACTCCAGCTATAACGTAGCCAAATGTTGCTTTATATGTGTAGTATCAATCATAAGCAATGTGAATATCAGAAATAAACGTCCCTACAAGGTCTACAGACCTATATAGGTCAGCAAAAAGTGAAACTTAGCATGTCCTGGTTTCGATCCAGGGACCTCCGGGTTATGAGCCCGGCTGTGAAACGTTAGCTTGTGGTCTAATTCTGCAGGTCACGTGAATAATTACCGCTCTTCCCCTGAGCTAACATGCTCTGATTGGTGGAAATCCGGTACAAATTTTGATACTCAAGCCTGAGTGCCAATCCAGGTCTCGGAAGAGTGTCACGGGTAGAGCAGCGTAGAACCGGGTAGTAGGGCATATCTCCTAAGTCTGTAATTTAGGGCTTTAACTACTTCATTCCCTAGTAACAATAGTTCGTAGTTTGTTATTATGGCCGAGGATGGGAAAATATAAGCAGCCATGCGGCCCATGCATACAATGGCAGCCAGCTATTAGATATATAGATTATACGAACTATATGGGTCGATTTTATGCGGTATATACTTTATACCACGGCACCGGCTCTGTTTATTTATTTTGGTTTTGGTCTGAATAGATGTGCCCGTGTTATCTGGTTGGTTTCTACCTCTGCTTCTACATTCTACGATCGTAGACAGATGATAAAGCGGCCTGGTGTATGGGTTGAAAGGAGTCTCGGCTAGACTGGGGCAGAGGGGGGAAAGAGTGAGACAAATAGAAAGTATCTAACTACGAATTAACCAGCAGATAGCATCACCAAGGGAAACTTAGTTGCTTTGCTGCCTAGAAGATATACAAACGCACCTTTCTACAAGGAATTCGTCAATGATAATTTGCAAACAATACATCATACCTGAGATACTATGGAAAACATACAGATGTGTCCATAATTTCTAACTGTGTACCCGAGTCCTGGGCACAGCGTTTGATAACAACCGTAATATTGGGTACATTGATAATACTTCACTAGCGAACGGGACAGAAAGATCAGATACACCATGTCCGGAGCGGTGGCACACATCAGATATATTCTTCGTAGCTTCGAATTTCGAGAGTAAGCTATAGACAATAGACATCGACAGCTTTGGTGGTAACCTTGAGTCCGTATTCTCCTAGAGTATGTGTCTACTGAGTTATGAGTTTAAAACTGACATGTAAATCCCATTCCACGACAGAGGGCCACATCTCGACCTTTTGTGTCAAGTATCCATCCCCTTGACCATGTCGATCAGTAGTAAGCCCCTTCAGTTCATGGTACACAATCTGACTACCAGAAAATCAGTGGTCAGCTCCTCTAAGAAATCTGTCTGCGCCCCAGTAGAAAGACGCCCCACAGCTACGTACCGTACCATCGTACCAAAGATCAGCCAATCGATGGAACGCATCCCACCAATCTCGCAAGAAACTACCCGATTCGTCCGGAATCACATCTATAAACATATTTCCAGATCAAGATACATCACTCATCTAGTTCCTAATATATTTCCTTTTTATTGGCGCCAACGAAATGAAATCGAGACGGCACAGGGCTCCTTGCAGTCCGTGCACATATAAGACCAATATGTAAAGCAAGCGATGTGATATCACGTTTAACAATCGGATGACAAAAGCAACTAACGTAGTAGCGAGAGTCGAGACATGGGAACCCCACCATGCAGTAATGACAGCTACATCTCAACAAACAAATACCGAGCAGTGCGATCGTCGATCATGATACGTATACTACATATGCCTGGGGCACATCTGTCACAGCAACCAGCCTCATTATTGATATCAGAACAAACATATTGCATAACGTCATATCTAAAACCATGGAAGTAACCGAGAGCAACAGCCATTCCGGGCAAGCTAATGCAAGGGCCTGATGTCAATGATGGCGAATAGAAGCCTGACAAATGGGCTCCAGGATATTTTCTACGCATGGATGCTTGAGTTTGCAGCATAGCCCACGGTTGACATTTAAATTAAATTAATGGGTTCCGATTTGTGATACGGGACGATTACCTGTCTTGCTGCAGGGTATCTTGACGGTAACCCTTGCGATGACTTGAAGGGGAGGGGAAGACGGTCAAGATCTCAATTAAGCCTCCGGGTAAATGTCCGATTTGACGGCTAGTAAATTATAATACAGGCCGGTAACGCCGTTGCCTTTTTGGCTGCCTGGGAGTTGGAAAATCGATAGCTCTTATCAATGACAGCTGTCAACGCATCCCTTGCGTACGGCAATCCAAAGCGAAGGATTCACGATCTTCACCGACATGGGGATTCCAAATCGAGGTGAGATCCTGTCCCGACTACCGAGATTGGCCGCGACTATGATTTGAACTACGATCTGTTCTTCTCGTCAGGAGACCAGCAGAGAATTGGCGGCTCGGCAAAAAGGGGCGAATCGGCTACGGAGCCCTAGCGTTTGACACAAAAAGAAACAAATGAGAAAAGAGGAAGAGAGGAAAGATCTCAAGCTAGCGATCTGGGTTTCTCACTAAGACACTCAACGATCTCCAATGAAGTGGATCCCCTATGCAGACTCGGATCCTTTATTTGCAATTCCAAATTCTAAATCTGCGAAACAAACCAAAAGACGAAAAACTCAAACAAAGGAAAAATCAAAACATCAAAAAATACCCAAGTCTTTAAAAAAAAAAAAAAAGGCACTTCTACGTATCGTATCACCTTCCTCAGAAAAAAAAAAAGCAAAAGAAAAAGAAAAAGCAAAACCCAACAAGAAAAACGGCCCACCGCCCAGGTCCAGGACCCATAATCGATCCGATTCCGATAATCTCTCACCCGGCGATCGCGGCTGAGACTTCCACCCAAAGAACGATAAGCAGCTACCTCGGGCTTCCCCACTTGGCACCGATCCAAATCCTGTCGCCTTTTGGAAACGGGCTTAGACCAACTTTTAGTTTAACAATGGTCGCGCCCACCATTATTGGTCTAAAATAATTCCCACAAAGCGGTTCTCCATTTTAGGCGTGCCTGCGACAACGGGATTTGCCGGTGGAGTGGAAGGAGTGAATCAGGGGCCGTCATTCAAATCCCGTATGTGCATTTGCATACATTGCTGCATTCTACATTATTTATGTTCTTGTCTCGGTGTTATTTCGCCGGAACTCGGCCTATGGGAGAGCGAGAAGGATGTGGCATGATTATCATTCCGAATAAAGGCCTTGCTGATATTAATAATACGGGAACTTAATGAGATAAAACAAGAAGATATAGTATCTATTATGGAGTTGATTGTTTACCAAGTACGGAACTGTCTGCAATAGTTTTAGGGTATGTCGAAGTTAAAAATTTGATTTGTCCTATAGAATTTGGCACACTACATTTAACTATACAGGTGGCTCTGCACTAGGGGAGACAGTTCATGTAGGTCGACCCAATCGAACCATTTCAAAATAAAAAATCGTAAAAATAAGAAAAGATAGAAGTAAAAAAAAATGTTGGATTTTGATTTTAATCCCCTCGTGTTCGTGCCGCATTCCATGTCTCATTACGGACAACCCCATTTTTTTGGTTTCTCAGGGGTGAGTCCGTGACCAAGTCCGTGTCCCATAATTAATATTATAGTTCTGATAATCGCAGGGATTATTTGCTGGAGCTTCCGATCATCCCGAAACTATGGGAAGTCTAAATTCGAGATCAACTTCAATAGTCTAGGATTGGTTCATTTCTGGAACCGTTGAATTCATTGTTGACAATTTTAATTTTGATTTAAATTTTTCATACGGGCATCATACATACATACCAGACGGAGTACGAGCTAATTTGTATTCCCAAGTACGGAGTACCGTCAAAAATATGCATCGATGTACGAACTAGGTTAAAGTCGCATGCAACAGAAGCATGAGATCAATTCAGATAACCCTAATGAGGAGTCAGTGATCCAGTCAGGGCCCGTGTAACAATTATCCCTGCAAATCTGATACGCAGGGCTTGAATAAACTATCCCATTATCTTTTTTTTTTCAGCTCCCGTGGCTCTCCGTCTCGTGTTCCCCGACTTATGTACGGCACTAGTGGCTACGGACGGGTTTAAAACGTAACGTTGTACACGGGACTAGTAGTTTCGAGGAACGGACCCAATTAGTTGGTTGTGTGTAGTACATGGACTCGGCTAGATTTTCATTCACGATGGGAGCTGGGAGGAAGATCTTTACGGTATGTATATGTATGTAAGTGTACGTGTGCGCCAACAGATGTTCATCTAGACTGCAGAAGCTCGCATACAAAAATGCAAAAGCAAAATTTAGAACCGGACTAGTATTAGAAAGAGACATGGACTACCGGAGAATCATTACCCCAACAACCTCGCAAGTTAGAGCCAAAACCAAAGATGATCTACAACTCCCCGAGCACGGGTTTCGCCTCCTCCCCGAGAGCCCGATTCGAGATCTTCCCCGGCGCAAGGGATGGAAAACACTACAAGTGTAGAGCGAAGCTGAATATTCAACAGCCGTATCCGCAGATCCAGTGGAGAAGACACGCACCAGGAACCGTGATCGGGACGTTCCCGTTGCTTCTACCGTGGGCCCAGCCAGCTGCAGTCACTTAGTAAGACATGGGACAGCCGGTACATATATCCAAGCAATCAGACGCCAGAGATCTCGGAATCGGAGAACCGCCAGAGGATTCGAGATGCTGTATGATGACCTGAAGTAATTGCGAGAAAGTACCGGGCGGGTATACGGAGTACGGTAAACGCCATGCACGTACGCATCATGTACGTGTTGCATGTACACAGCCACGATGAGTTCAGCTGAGGACGGTCAGGTAAGCGACGTCTCTGCATGTACCCCACATTTTTTCTTCGTCTGCCAGTCAGAACTGGAATCGCTTCCTGAATGGAGTTATCAGAGTATCGAGATGCAGATCCATCTCGCCTGAAGGGGTAGGGCTTGAGAATGAACTCAAATTAGTGTCTTTTTTATTGTTATTGTTGTTGTTGTCACTATTATTTGATTTGGGTTGGTTTATTTTTACTCGTACCTTCCAAGTAAGGACTACGTGTCCTGTGCAGATGGGATGATCTCTCGGTGGTTGACCGCTCGAGGGGTCAAATAATGGGACTGCGTCTGTCTCAGTGGTAAGGGATGATCGTTGGAGTCATTATTCGGGGTGGTTTGGAGTACTTGGTATGTATCTCAGTATGCCAAGTAGTAGTAGGCAATGAGCCACAAAAATATGACAGGCCTGAAAGATAGCATAATTAATAGACGGAGAAAAGGTC